GCTGGGGGATTGAACCGTGGTCCCTGTGCTTTGCTAAGCTTGTTCTAAGTAGGTGCTTTAGATCACTGGGCCATCTCACCAGCCCACTGAGCCATCTCACCAGCCCTGATTCATAATTCTTGAAGTTTGAGTATATCAATTGCCTACTCCCAACATGAGACAGATAAAATAAAGTATACAAACATACTTAATTTAGCGAAGACTATAAAACATCTGTAATGAACATTTTGGGTATGTTATTATGAATAATAGCAAAACAAACATATGTGTACCCACTCCCATTTGAGAAACATATGAAGTGTCTATAAATTCCTTTCCTAGTTAGTGGACAGGATTTCATGTCTGCATCTGGTAAAATGAATAACCACTAAGACAACAATATGCAATATTTAATTATTGAAACTGTCCTACTGGGCTGGGGAGATGGCTCAGTGGAATAAATGCTTCCCTGGCAAGCACAAGGGCTTGAGTTCAATCCCTGGTTCCGCAAAAAAACCAAAAAAAAAAAAAACAAAAAAACCCCAAAAACTATCCTACTAATCGGTTTGAAACTGTCATATTGCTATTTGTTTCTCAATAAAATTATAAAAAAAAAATCTATCCTAGTCCTGTTCTCTGCCCTCCTGCAACCTGCTCCTGGGGGTCACCAGTATCCTGATTCCTGTTTTTCCCTTGTCATTCTTTTGCTTTTCTGTATATTTCACTACATACATATGTTTCTCTGAACAATATTAGTTTTGCTTGGTTTGAACTTCATAAATTGGTCTGTCACTGAAGTTTGTTATCTCTAAATTCAGCCATGGATGCTTGCGCTTGGTACTTCCAATTGTTTTTCATTATTTCATATCTTCCCTTGTACTGGTTTTCTAAGTACCACCTCTTCACAGCACTTCAAAGGCGATTTTGTGTATAAAGCCCTTAATACCAGACCTAACAGGTGTCAGCCACCCTAGTGCTGAGGTTCAATTGAAATCTAACAACTTGCACCTTTCTCCCCAGTACTAAAGAACCTGCCGTTAGTTCTTCTGCCTGATTTAATTAATTATAATTATAATATAATAGCTTTACAATACCTAAAATTTCATAGCTGGAGATAAGAAATCACAGGATTTCAAAATATCTAAGACTACATTTCCCACAAAGCATTGCGTTGGTCTTAATCACTTTCAGCTTCCGGGTCACGTGGGCGGGACTAAAACTTCTCCCAATGAATAAGCTCCATTGTCTCAGAGGGCGGAGAAATTATCCAATAAGCTTCTCCGTAGGGGCGCCAATCAGCCGGAAGGTTGCTGGGGCAGCCCGCGGGGGCGGTGTCACTTAGCCGCTCCAGCTGAGCCGGGTGGCAACCAGCCTCCGTCGCCCCCGCGTCTGTGTGGCTTGCTGCGTCCCCCGGTGCCTGTTGACCCCATTTCCCTGTCCCCGGCGGGCGCCGCACACCGACATCTCCACGCCCATGGCCGCTAACCGGAGGGAGTCGTCCCCGTTCGGGTCCTCGTCCAGCCGCGACACCGACGACGAGGGCGTGCGCGGCACCTGCGAAGATGCTTCTGTGTGCAAGAGGTGCCTTCGGGGCGGGCGGCGGGGCGCGGGGCGGCGCAGGGCGGGCTCCGCTGGGGTCGGGCGGCGGCGGGCGGCCGGCCTGTGCCGCGGGAGGCTTCCCGCACTCGGGAGAGGAATGCCGCGCCGACTTCAGCGATCTCCCCTTCGTACCTGTGGAGAGCACGAATAATCGGGTTCATTGATAGGAGGAGTCGCCTTGGAGCCGCGCTGTGTGCCTGGCGCGCGAGCCCGGAGTACCTGAAGGGGAGCGTGGACCTCTTGGAAAGAGAGGCGTTGCAAACACTGACTACAGCCTTGTGGGGTTATGAGAAATGCAGATTTCGCCTTAGATTAAGCTCCGTTGGGGTGGCGTGGCTCCCAGTGTGCACCCGATACCCAGGCCCACAAAATGCATAACGTCTGCTTCCAGAGCCACTGCCACCCGAGGCTCGTGCGGGTGCAGCAGGTGGTGGCGATGGTGGGCACGGCCCCTGCACGCGGACCCGGAGGGAGGAAACCCCGGGGCTTGTGCACCCCTGCGCTGTCGTTCGGCAGATTGGGAGGTTGCTTTGTGCAGTGACTGGGAGTACTGCACGCTGTTCAGGACAGACGTGTGTGGGACGTACTGCAACTCCCAGTCTAGTTGGGAAAGACAGGAAACAAATCGGTACCCGTGAAATAGAGAATTAGAATTTTGTGTTGCGGTCTAGGAGACGCAGCACGCCATTAAAATTAGGTAGTGGTGTTGACGCCGGGAAGAAAAGCCTTTAAAAAAATGGGGGTGTAAGAGCGTGTTGAGGCACAGCAAGGGACGCGTAGGGACTGTTTAAGAACATCTGAAAGGATGCCTTGGAAATGGAAGAAGCGTGTTGGGGCCAGGAGGGATCGTACAGCGGGGAACACCAAAATTTCGGTTGAAGCGCTCCACTTTTGGTGGTTTCCTCGAGTCAGCACGGTGATTGGGAGTATAAGCTCCGGAGTCAGGCTCTGTCTGCCTGGATCCTCGCCATTTGTGCTTTTTGTGTATATGTGTCCGGAATCGAACTGAGGACCTTGCATTTGCCAAGCAGACGCTTATGCCGCTGAGCTAGCTCCCTAGCCCCCTCCCCCCTTTTTAATTGGTCACCTTATCAGGGTGGTCATCAACTTCCTATGTAGACCCCGTAGGCCTTGGACTTGTGACAGTCCTGCCTCAGCTTCCCAAGTGCTACCTTCCATGTATTAGCTTGGTAAACAGGCAAATTCCTAACCCATTTTGTTCTTCAGTTTTCTGACCTGTAAAATGGGGATAATGCTCATTTCCTGGGTGGGTTTGATGACTCAACAGCACTTAATTAATTGGTTAGTTAATTTTGTGGTACTGGTGATTGAACTCACCGCCTCCTCCTTATTTTGCTCAGGTGAACTGGAACTTAGATTCTCCTGCCTCAGCTTCCTGGGGTGCTGGGGTCCCAGGTGTGCTCAAGCACAGCCAGCTTCAGCGGTACTTTACAGAGCATTTAGAGCTATGATCAGCACCTAATAGATGTTAATGGTGGTTGGTTGTTTAGACACACATCAACAGCGAAGGCTTAGTGGTCTTCCCTGGGTAAGACACGTGGATTTAAAGGGATTGCATTTGCCTTCATTTATTCTCCAGCTTTCAGTTGCTGTTGATAGTATCGGTGGCGCTGCTAAATCAGAAATATTTTTTTTCTCCTATGGACTCTGCCACGTGCTAAGAAAATTTGTATTGAGTTATTTTCATAACCATCAGGGTCAGGATCATTTAACAAATCTTGGTAATTTTTTTTTTTCACAGTTGCTTCAAAGATGTAAATGATCAATAAAATAGTTCAGACACAAGGAACAAAGAAGTAGTATAGCTGGTTTGCCTTTTCACAGTCTCTGGTTCTATAGCTTCTTTTCCTCTGCTGCAGTTTTCTTTCTTTCTTTCTTTCTTTCTTTCTTTTTTTTCTTTTTTTTTTTTTTTTGGTGGAACCAGGGATTGAACTCAGGCCCTTGTGCTTGCCAGGCAAGTGCTTATTCTGCTGAGCTATCTCCCTGGCCCCTCTGCTGCAGTTTTCTGATGCTCTTTGCATCTTCGAAATGCTGGATGGCGTAGGAAAAGGTTGACTTGGATCTAGACTGCCAAGTAGTAGTTGCCAACCAAACTGCACATCTCTTGAATCAATATCCTGGGATAAGTCCTGGGTTATAAAGACCAGAGGTGTTTGCCATCTGGGTGAATTTCATCTAAGCTTTTTTTTTTTTTTTTTTTTATGGTACCAGGGATTGAACTCAGGACCTCGTGCTTCCCAGGCAAACACTTATCCCACTGAGCTACCTTCCTGGCCCTCATCTAAGCTTTTTAGCGTTACGTTTTCCTTTGAAAATGTGTGAAGGGAGTGTGGGACTTCAGAAGTACATTTTTAGGAAATGAATTGTACAGCAAGACGCTGTCTCAAAAAAACCCAAAACAAATGTATTAGTTCCTCTTAAAGGTCCTAATACTTCATATTCTGCATTTCAGCTCCCATGGGAATGTGATCAACATCTTCACTTGGCCTCGTTCAACACATTAAACTCTTAGATCTTGTTCAAAGCTGTGACATCACCTCTAACACCTTGCAAGAATGATGGGCAAATTACTCTATTTGCCTCTGTCTTCTTACCTTTAAAATGGGGCTAATGGGAGAACCCATCTTTAAGGTGTATTAAATGAGACAGTTGATCAAAGCTCCTAGCCCAGGATCTGGCACGAAGAGAAAGCCCTGAATACATAGTTAGTTTGGGTTTGCCTCCAGTTGGAAGTCGCTGAATATATCTGAGCCTTGGGTCTGGCTGGTCCCTGCCACCCTGAGTTAGGCTTTAAAATCCCTAAAATAACTTTTTTAAAAAGCCAGTTGGTTTCCCTGGGAACCACAGTCCTATTTCTGCTGTTTTCACTGCTCTCACTCTGTGGGGGCAGTGGTGAAGCCGCCTTAGAGGTGTGATGTTGTTCCTGTCGGTTGTTCCTGTGGTCCTTGTCGTGGTCATCGGCTCCTGTTGGCAGCACTGTTCTGGTCGGGTGTGTTAGTGATACAGGAACGTGAAATTCCCAACCTGGCCTGAGTGAGTTCGTGTTTTCTAAAACCGAAGAATGAATTTTAGGAACAAACGGAGGTTGAGGGTAAAACTTTATTGGAAAGGAAAGCTTCTGTCGGAGAGGGACAGAAGGGGGTCCCAAGCGGGTTGCCCAGGAAGCTGTCTCCTTCAGGTTATTTTTATAGGACAAAACCTTGCGGGGCTAAGGTAGAGACAAAGGGGTCCCGCTTAGGCAGATACAGGGTGGGACAAAACTATGGTCAACCAATGGGATTACAAGCACCATTGCCCAGGTAAAATTGATTAGGCCTAGGACCAAATGGGGTAGCGAGTCACGTAGCAAGCAGGCGACCTTATCTGGTGGCCTTCAGTCAATGATTCTTCCCGACTAATGAGCAATCCTGGATGCCAACTTTAGGGAGGTCAGCATTTGTTTGATCTTTAGGTCTGACTCACACCAGGAGCATCTCCCCAGTAAGATGTCTGGTCTTTGTCATCCCCTTCGAGGGCCTGTCCCTGTCTAACTACCTACAATATTTTTATCTAACTTAGGCTGCCTGCAACATTAGGTTTGTGCTCGCTAAGTGCTGAGCTGCAGTTGGCATCCGCTGAGCATTCACTGTGGTAGGTGGCCCGGCTCACCCTTTCTGTGGATTGAATATGGTTCGTCCTGCCACAACTCATGTGGCGGCTCAGTCCTCAGAGTGGTCGTGCTCCGAGGCAGCGCCTAGGAGAAGCATTAGGCCCTTTGAGAGGGATTAATTCATTTTTTTGTATTTAAGACTATTTATTTCAGTCTTCCTATTTAGTTCAGGCTGGGTTTGAGCTCAAGGTGAGCCTCCTGCCTCAGCTTCCTGGGTGCTGGGTGCTGGGATGGCAAGCTTGCGCCACCGCGCATGGTAGGAGGCATTCGTGCATTTCTCGAGGGAGTGAGCTTTTGCTCCTGTGGGACTTGGTTATTGTGAGACAGGTTGAAATAAACAAGGCTGGCGCCTCCTGTGGTTTGCCTTTGATCCCTCTCCCGTGTGCATCTCCTCCACATTCTCATGCCGCTGAGCCTTGGGCCTTTCCTGAACTGGCATTTGCTATTTTATCTTTACAGCTATCTGATTTGGAAGACAAGTGGACCCTTTTACTTCATAACATATCCTGCCACAGGTATTTTGTTATCACAACACAAGACTTAGTGCCCCACTCCCCACTTGACCATGTCTCCTCGTGCAGTGTCTCTGGTCAGCTCTCTACTCTGCCTAGGACCCACCAGGCCTGTGTCTGGCCAGAAGGAGGCGGGGACCCGTCTTGGTGGGGCAGCCTACTCAGTCTTTTCTAGGACGTTTGGCTGGAGTAGGCTTGACGCTAAGTCATGAAGAAGCCACAGTCACTCATCAGCTGGGAGAGAGGGAGTTTGGTATTTTGTGGGGGGCATAGTGGCCCAAAGTTATGAAGTGTCATTTTGTCACTGTTGCAGTGTCCCTGTGTTGGTGTTCTGCAAGGTGGTTCGTGTCCAGCAGCAGAACATCATGGCCTCACCGTGCTTGCCAGGCCGCTGCCCGCAGGAGGAGGCCTGGCCCAGGGGGAGGGCCAGTTCCCAGGCGGCAGGGCAGCTTTTCTCCCTTCACAGTGCGAGGGGCGAGTCTTCAGAAGGTGCACGGGAGGTTGCTCGGCAGAAGCACGTAGCTGGGCCCTGGGATTGCAGCGGGGCCGTGCCTTAGGTGGGGACTGGGTCGTCCGAGAGAAGCTGCAGAGGCAGTGTTGTAGTTGGGGTGTTGCTAGGGGACAGTGCAACCCAGGGTACTTACTTTATAATAGTCACCCAAAGAGTCGTATACAGAGTGCAGGAAATGGAGTCCAGCTGAGGCCTGGCTCCCAGTGTGCTGTGGGAGTCCCCTGAAGACCTGAGCCCCTGACGGGGCCTCCCACAAGCCCACATGGAGGCCTGGAGCCCGCAACAGTGT